GATAGATAGACTATGATGTCAATAACACTGAGCTATCTTGCTTTAACATCTAATATATTTGTGGGACTTTTTTCTACTTAGTCAACTTAAAATTTACAGCCTACTTTTTTTTTTTTTAAGATGTTTTGGCCTCAGGGCAAGTGCACTCACCAGGGAGAGAGAGAGAGTCAGAGGATAAATGAGAAATCATCCCTCCAGAGGGGATGGCCACTCCACAATCCCTTCTTTTCCATTCTCCTCTTGGGATCTTGGGTACCCAAGTACATGCCCCTGGCATGAGTTTCAAGCCACTGGGTCTGGGACTTGAACTATGTCGACCATGTGGGAATCCAGTGATGTAACAAGTTTGCCATCTCCTGGCCCTTACAGTCTCCCTTTTTTTAAATGAGTGTAGTAGTATTTCTTAATCCTATATCCTAAGAAAAAATAACAATGAAACAGAAGTTTACTTATGTTCCTTAAAATTACTTAATTCATTTTTATCATGAAGAGTGGTATGATATTCACTTAGTTATAGATGAGTATATACTAATAAGCAGGTATAAGATTTATTTTTGGATGAGGAACATTTTTGGGGGGATAGAGTATTTTATTGACACTCAAGATACATGCCTATATATATGTGTGTGTATATATATAGATAGATAGATAGATATGTGTATATATATATATATTGCTGTAGGACACTTACGCTTGCTGAAAACAGAGAGAGAGCGAGCACACACTCCTGGGGGGATGACCACACTTCAATCTCTTTTTCTTCATTCTCTTCTCAGGATTTTGGACATGCACATGCATGTACATGTACATACACATGCATCTGGCATGTTTTTCAAGCCACCAGATCCAGGACTTGAACTACTCAGTCAGTCATGTGGAATCTAGCTGCTTTAACTCCCATGCTATCTGCTGGCCTTAATCTCTATAGTTTTGACTGTTTGAAACAAAAGGAGATTCTAATTTTGTTCCTTGAATAGGTCATAAAGTATGGCTTTGCTCTATGACTCAATCTGAAAATATTTTTAATTGGCTAGCTAAATCTATTCATTTATTGATATGATAGACATGGTGAACCCAACTCTACATTTTGTTTTATAATTATTAATAATTATAATATTTATAATTATTATGTTTTTTTGCTTTATAATTTATAATTATTGCATATAGCACATTTTTTATTGTATTTCCCTGTTTGGTCTATTTTTTTTATTTCTTTTGGAATTAAGAACATTTCATATATTTTAATTTTTTTATATTTATAGCTTTTATTATAACCTTATTCCCTGCTCTCCTTGCTTAACAATTCACTATCAGGTTTGTCCATTTTTTGTTCTTCTCTTTCCTTTTCTTTTGTAATTGCTATAGGGCCTGTGAACTTGCCAGGGGAGGAACACTCCTCCTGCAAATGGGGTATGGTCATACTGCGATCTCTCTCCCTCTATTTCTCCATCCTGTTGGGATTTGGGGCATAACCGCACAGGCACCTGAAGTGTTTTTCAAGCTTCTGTTCCTAGGTTTCAAACCATGTTTGGCCACATGGGACTTGGCTTCCTTTAACCACACTAGCCCCTTGTTTGTCCATTTTTTGGGGGAAGGGGGAGATTTTTTTCCTAAAGGGTGCATGCACTCACCAGAAAGATAGAGACAGAAAGACAGAAAGCGAGAAATCACCCCCCCAGGGGGAATGGCCACACTACAGTCCCTTTTCCTCCATTCTCCTCTTGGGATCCTGGGCACGCACGCACACGCACCTGGCGTGAGTTTAAGCCACCAGGTCCAGGACTTGAACTGCGGTCGACTACATGGGAGTCCAGCGACATAGTCATGATGCCAACTGATAGTCCCATCCATTTTAAATAGTATTCTTTATCACTTACCTATTACCTATACGAAAATAAGCAATTTCACTCTACTATCTTCCTTTATTTCCCTTATTCATTATTTATTTTAAGTTTCATCCTTTACACTTTGTCAGAACAGTGACATTTCCTTCCTTGTCATCTTTTCATTTATGGCCTAATTTTGTTGTAGCCATAATTTTCCATTTTAATACATTAAACACTCACCATCAATCCTTTGGCTGAAGCTTCTCTACTTATCTCTTCAGCTTGGTGAAATGCAACCTCTCACATATTTCCGAGAGTAAATGTTTGTATAGTAGTCCACGAGTTCTACTATGCTTTACACTTAAGGGACCAAGCAGTAGGTGCAATGGCAGCACAAATAAGCCCATATGGGAAAGGTCCTAGATTAGCATCCTGAGATCTCCGTTAGCACCCCGGGCACCCATGATCTGGGTTGGCCAAGACCAGGGGTAGGTTACAGAGTAAGACTTTGTTAGAGATGCCTGTCTCCTGTCTTTCTGTCTCTCACTCATGGAAATTTGAAAAAAAAAAGGAGTTAGAGGGTAACACAGCAGTAAGACATGATTCTTTGCAAGGCAGATCCATACAGAAAGGTTGCTGGATTGAGGCAGGATCCCTCCCTGAGTACACAGGGCACAGGCATGCTTATGATCCAAAGTTGGCTGAAACTGAGGGAGGATTGTGGTGTCAAGACTCTGTTGAGGGTACTGTCCTCTCTCTCTCTCTCTCTCTCTCTCTCTCTCTTTCTCTAGTAGAAGGAATTTTTTTTAAAGGCACTACCACTTGTAAAGTTTCAGTACAATAGTATTGACAATTGTCTGAAAAGGATGGTAAGATACTCTTCCCTTTTCCAACTATACAACTGTGTGAGTCTGAACTTTTTTCTTATACTTCAAAGAAAACAACATGTTGCACTAGACATAGTATAGAAACAAGTAAGAAGATCCATCTGACCTCTATTAAGCTAAGCATTAAGGAAATTTGAAAAATATAAAACAGCACTCTACTTATTTTTAAGTTTTTTGTTTGTTTGTATGTTTTCAGAGAGTACATTTGCTCACAAGAGAGAGAGACAGAGAGAAAGAGAAAGAAAGAGCACTCCCCAGTGGAATGTGGTCATGCTTCAATAGCTTCTCCTCCATTCCTCCATCCTTTGTGGATTTGGGGCACACAAACACATGTACCCAGGACGGGCATTTTTCTCAGGTCACTGGGGTCGGGCTTTTAACTATGGTTGACCTTGTGGGATCCACCTTCCTTAACTGCTAGGCTATAGAGTTGACCTGAGCATTCTTTACTTTTTAGTTTGGGAAAATATTGTTACTTTTATTAAAACATTTATAGGGGCTGGCATGAATGCGTGGTGGTTGAGGCATGGTTGACCATAGCTCAAGTTCAGATCTGGCAGCTTGCTTCTCACTTTCCTTCCCTCTTGCTCTCTTTCTGTCTAGTCAAATTAATAATAATAATTTAAAAACTAAATAAATAATTCTTGAAAAGCATTATTTATGGATATTTTTTCATTTTCACTCAATTAATATTTTTAAATCCAATTTTACATTTTAATTAAAATTAGAAATTATATTTTTCTAATATTAATAGTTGTAATTCACATAAACAAAATTCCTTGAAGAGCCTTAATATGGAGTCATCAGACAAGTCATGATACATTTTTACATGGAAAAATACATCATGACTTTTCTGACAACCCAGTACTTTTAAGAATGTAGTGAAATCTTGAAACCAAAATGCTTGAGAACATATCATATATAGTTATGGTTAGAGACTGACCATGGATTCCTAAAGATAAAACCCATAATCTTTTTTTTTTTTTTTAAGAGGTTTTTTTCTATAGGGCATGTGTGCTCACCAGAAAGACAGAGACAGAGAGACAGAAAGTGAGAAATCACCCCCCAGGGCAGATGGCCATGCCACAATCCCTTCTCCTCCATTTGCCACTCAGGATCTTGGGCATGCATGCACACGGTGAGTTTAAGCCACCGGGTCTGGGACTTGAACTGTGGTCAACTACATTTAAGTCCAGCGACATAGCCATTACACCAACTGCTGGTCCTAAAGCCCAAATTCTTAACATGGCCTCAATTAACAGTATGCTACAAACACATGAGCCTTTGTTTACCGTGTAATGTTCACTTTTGTGAACACAGCGTTCCTTCTCTCTAGAATGTCCTTTTCCATCAGCTCAAGCAGCACTTCCCCCGACAAGTGCTCCTATGTTGAAGCCTCTCTTGAACCTATGCTCTTGCACTTCAGAACCTTTTCTCTCTTTCCAATTATATATTTATTGATACAAATATAAGATAAAAGATTTTCTTCCAAATAGATATAAAAAATGCATAGAAGTCATAAGCATGCACGTTTGGCTTGACATCACAACTATTCTACATAGCACAGTGCCAGCAGGTCATATGGTGGGAAATAAAATATTTGTTGGTGAATAGATCAAGAGATGATTACATAAACAGATAGAGAAATTGGTGAATTGTTAAAGGATTCGACCTCATGTGCATAGATTCCTCAATAATGTAGAGATCCAAGATAAACACTAGAATGAAATTTATTGAGTACAGATTGACTCACATATATTTTGCAGTATGAAATTTTGTTACTCCATGTTCTTGTTGGCTTTCTTTTACAAATGAAATGGGAAGTAGAAATCATATGATATTTTGTTGTGATATTTTTCTTGAGCAAGCCTGGTAATGAGTAATTGTTGACGACTTCTTGCATTTCATGACCTATTTTGTATAAATTATATTATTTTTATGTATGCCTTCATTCTTACAGTCTTACTTATTACCTCATTTGGCCTAAACATCTGCAATTGAATTTCAGTTATCTATTGTATTTCCTCCACACCTTCCTGGTTACCAGCTGTCATTATATGATACTTAACAAACTTGGTTGTGTCTGGTTAATTTATCAGTCTCTCCACAAAGCTGCTCATTCCTTACGAACTTGAACTGAATTTCATTTATCTGTATAGCAACAGAATGCAATAGGGTCTTTAAGACCTGAAAAACAGTCAAGAAACAAATGTATGAATGAACAGTTGAAATAAACTTTAATAAATGACATTATATATCCCTTACCTTTCTTATTAAATTCTTCCAGTTAAAACTCAGGTGATGGGGGAAATCAAGATTGCACTGAAGAAGGAAATGAAGACAGATGGTGAACAACTAATAGTTGAAATTCTTCAATGCAGAAATATCACCTACAAATTTAAGTCTCCTGATCATTTGCCAGGTATCTAATATAATAAACCTGGGAATTTATTAGCAGTAGGTTTTAAATATTCTGGAAAATATTGACTTAAATTTGGGCTGTATACCAAACATATCAGAAAATTTTGAAAGAAAGAACTGATTAAATTATCTTATATGGAACAAGTCTTTTTTTCCTAATTTTTATCTATTTTTTAACACATAAATTGGAATGATATAATTATTAGTTAACAGGAAAATAAATTTAATTGTTAAGAAAATTGGTATAGCTTAATCACTGTGTGTTGTCTGAAACAAATTGTACACAATCTACTGGCATTATACAAAAATGTAGGGGTAACTCTCAGCATAGAATTATAATTCTCCCAATAGAAAATTGTATGATGGATGGATATTTAATGGGTTGAACTCTAATTTCAGATTTATATGTGAAAATATATGTGATGAACATAGCTACCCAAAAAAAGGTGATTAAGAAAAAAACAAGAGTATGCAGACATGATAGAGAACCTTCTTTCAATGAAACTTTTAGATTCAGCCTAAGTCCTGCTGGACATTCTCTTCAGGTAACTCTATTTAAAACCTAATTTAAAAAAATATATAGATATTTGTATTGTATTTATTTTCCGTTCAATATTTATATACTGTTCACATGCTATATGATGTTTGAGAAGCAAGTTCATCGTTAGAGACATCACTCCGGGAGCCTTTTAGAATTTCTATAGCCATCTCACCCTTTCCAGATAGTTGCTAAGTCTTTATTTTTTTTCAGCTCAGTTTATTTTATATAGATTTCTTTTACTTCTGTGCTCACTACCACCAATCTATTTTAGCCCTGTCTTTGATTTTTAAATCATTTTGACAGTTTATCTGGCCAACTTGTCATACATTTCTTTCTCTAGTAATTCATTCCATTGCAGAGCAGCCAGTTCTTTTTTACAGAGAGATTTTTGTTATAGGGTGTGTGTGCTAGCTGGAGAGATAGGGAGAGACAGAGAGAGACAGAAAGTAAGATATCACTCCCCTCCCCAGATGGCTATGCTGCAATCCCTTCTCCACTAGTCTCCTCTCAGGATTTAGGGCACGCATGCACAAGCGCCTGGAATGAGTTTCAAGCCTCTGGGTCCAGGACTTAAACTGCTGTCAACTCCCCTTTGAAGTTCCCTTCATCTCTCTCCATCCATCACAGTACTCCATATCCTTCAGTATAAACTCAGTGTCTTCCCTGGTGACCTCAGGTATAATTCATCACACCTATCACAAAATGTTCTGTTTATCTTATGCTATTGATCCCTGTCCATCTTGTGCAATGATGTATTGGGTTGTCTGAAAAGTCACGATGTATTTTTTTTTCTGTTTATTATGCAAAATTGTGTCATGACTTTGTCTATAGCCCTTTATGTACCGACCTGTTCCTGCTTCTATCCCATCAGCCTCCTTAGAACAAGGCCTAATTTTCATGACTCTCTGTCCTACAGCCTACTAAAATGCTTTGTATATGATATGTCTTCAATAAATATAGAGATAAGGGATGAAAGAAGAAACAAAGGGAAGGAAGGAGGAGTTGAAAATATATGGAAAGAGACTATGGTACTGAAACTTAAAATAAAGCTTGGCAGTAGAGATAAATTAAAGAACTATTACAAAGCAAAAATGGTGAACCAGCAGTTAGCGTAATGGCTATGTCGCTGGATTCCCACGTAGTCGACCGCGGTTCGTGTCCCGGACCCGGTGGCTTAAAACTCACGCCGGGCACGTGTGCGTGCATGCCCAAGATCCCGGGAGGAGAATGGAGGAGAAGGGATTGTGGCGTGACCATCCCCCTGGGGGGTGATTTCTCGCTTTCTGTCTCTATGTCTCTTTCTGTCTGTCTGGCAAGCGCACGCGCCCTACAGTGAAAATCTCTCAAAAAAAAAAAAAAAGCAAAAATGCATTGAGAAGATTAACTGACATTGGAAAGAGAATAAAAAGATTAAAGAAAACTCTGAATTCTGTAAATTATGTCATCCAGAGATTAAGCAGTAAGAGAGGAGACCTGTGAAAGAAAAAGATCTGAGTTTGTCTAGGATGAATTTGAAAGGAAGACAGGGATTCAAGTGAAAATATTCAGAAAATATAATCATATCTGGAAATAGAGGTTTCAAAGTTGGACACACAAAAGTTTTATCCAGGTAATAAGTATCTGGGCCAGCAAATGATGTAGTGGTTATATCTCTGGACTCTCACATGGCTGACCACAATTCAAGTCCTGGACCCAGTGACTTGAAACAAGCCGGGCACATGCATGTGCGTGCCCAAGATCCTGGGAAGAGAATGGAGGAGAAGGGATTGCAGTTTGGCCTTCTTTCCTGGTGGGGATGGGGGTGAGTGACTTCTTACTTTCCTTCTCTCTGTTGTCTCCCCCCACCCCGCCATGAGCACAAGTGCCCTAGGGCAAAAACTCCTTAAAAAAAAAAAAGAAAAGAAAAGAAAAGAAAGAAAGAAAGAAAGGGGTGAGTATCTGAAGGCAATTCTGAAGAGAACGAGTGAGGGGAAGAAATGCCAAGGATTTTTAACTCCACCTAATGCTCTCTACCTTTCTTGCAGCTCATCTTTAAATGACAAAACAAGTCTATTTAATCTGAGATCCTGTGGGACAATATGAGCTCTACATTTGACTTAAAAAACAAACAAACAAACAAATACTTTGAGGGGGGCAAACAGTTGGCATGGGTGATTAAGGCACTAGATGCCACATGGCTGACTCTGTGGTTCAAGTCTTGGACCTAGTGGATTAAAAAACATGCTGGGCGGGACCAGCAGTTAGCATAATGGCTATGTCGCTGGACACCCATGTAGTCGACCACGCTCCAAGTCCCTGACCCGGTGGCTTAAACTCACACTGGGCGCCTGTGCATGCATGCCCAAGATCCCAAAAGGAAACTGGAGGAGAAGGGATTGCAGCATGGCCATCCCCCTTGGGGGGGGGGTGATTTCTTGCTTTCTATCTCTCTGTTTCTCTCTGTCTTTCTGGCAAGCACACACGCCCTATAGCAAAAAACATGCTGGGCATCTGTTAGCATGTGCCCAAAGTCTTGAGAAGAGAATGGAAAAAAAGGGATTGTGTGATCTTCCCCCTTGGGTGGGTGATTTCTCACTTTCCCTCTCTCTGTCTCTCTCCAGCAAGTGTATGGGCTATAAGAAAAAATTAAAAATAAACAAACACCAACAACAACAAAAAAACACTTTGGAAGTGCATACTGCAATAAAATCACCAGGAAATTAATACTAAATAAAATCAATAGTTTATGAACTCCTATTTATTTATTTAACATTCATATAACTTGGTATTTGAGTTAGTATTTCATGCTAGTAAAAAATGAATTTAGCAACATTATTCTATGAAACTTCCTATCAATTTAGTTATAAACATAGTTAGAATAAGCTGTTTATACATTTTTTCTTTTATTTATTTATTTATTTATTTATTTTATTTAAAGAGGTTTTTGTTATAGGGCGCATGTACTTGCCAGAAAGAGAAAGACAAAGAGACAGAAAGCAAGAAATCACCCCCTGGGGGGGATGGCCACTCTGCGATCCCTTCTCCTCCATTCTCCTCTCGGGATCTTGGGCACACACGCACACATGCCGGGCATGAGTTTAAGCCACTGGGTCCGGGACTCAAACTGAGGTCAGTTACATGGGAGTCCAGCAACATAGCCATTATACCAACTGCTGGTCCTAATATACATTTTTTTCTTATCTAGTATTTTAATATCCTTCAGAGTGTGTTTTTTCCTTTAAGGAACAATAAAAATATTGAGGTAAATCAATGTCTATTATGCAAATATTTAGAGGTTATCTTGGCTATCATTGTTTCGTGACATTTCACACCAACTGTCTCATGTCTGTGCTGATACTTTGATGATTAAGTGTTCTTAAAAGAATTGAAAATGTGTACTTACATATAACTTTGGCTATTTTTCTAGATTTTACTTTTCTCCAATGGAGGGAAGTTTATGAAAAAGACCTTGATTGGTGAAGCCTGTATCTGGCTTGACAAAGTGGACCTCAGGAAAAGAATAGTCAACTGGCATAAACTTTTGGTCAGTCCCACTCAAACGCATTGAAGAAACGTGTCTGCTCAGGGTATAGAAACTACTTTAAATAGTCTCACATCAAGTTTACATTTTGATCCTATTGTACTAAGCTATGTTTTCAGGAGCAAACATGATAGGAGAAATGACTCAAAAACATAACTTAATGCCTTTTAAATATATTATTGTAATATATTTAATAACAGAAAAAGACCCAAATGAAAGAGTCCATATGTTAAAGACAAAAAAAAAACTTAAAAAAAAAACTTAAAAAAAAAAAAAGCACTTAGAGACCTTGAATTTCTCTATGGTTATCAAGAGAAACAAAGAAAATTTGATTATTTAATGCCAAAATTTTGAGCAGAGTTGAGCTATAGCTAAAGACAAAAGCTCAAAGATTTCTGTAGTTTCCAATACAGCACAAAGGCAATCTTTTATGTAAAGAAATCTTGGTTGAAAGGAAAGAATTGGTTTAAGAAATTTGTTTTTAAAAGTAAAAAAAAAAAACTTTCTTCCTCATCTTATATTCTCCAACAACTTACTGTTTTGAGATTCTGGCATAAGATATATTTAACGATATGTGTCCAGGACTGAAAGGGAAGTGGCTGTTTTTGAAGGAAATAAAATGGAACAGGAGATGCAGAAATGATGGCTTTGGACTGAATCATACAGACTTTCTTACGTGAGTATGTCATCAGGATGTACAGCACCAGTTTTGGAATCTATGTGGTAAAAGCACATTTGTTTCAGCATAATTTGAAGTAATATAGAGCGAAGAAAATAATACAAGGTAGAAATGAAATTTTATTTATCTAGAATTAAAACCAGGGCTGGCTAACAAGAAAGAAAGTTGTTCCACAATATATTGATAACTTGGTTGAAAACAAAAACATCTCTCTAATTTTCCATTAAGTCTAGGAATTTTCAATGTAAGTAACTGAGGATCTAGAATAAAGTGGTATGTTTTAGGAAGCATGTAACTTGTTCTTTGTGGAATCACAAATAAATGTATTATTCTGCATATTTTCTTTCTCTTGAGTGATGTATTGGCAGAGAGAAATTTCCTTCACTGACAAAAAGAATTATATTAATCTTGTGACATTAATTTAATTGGTGTCATTTCCTGTTTTTCATATTGTTTTTCTCTTAACTCATTAACCAATTGTATAATGGAAACCCTGACACCAAATGCAAATTCTCTCTAGTGCTTTTTTTTGTTTGTTTTCTTTTTACTGACAATATCCCAGTGTTGAAGAAATATATGAAAAGTCAATATTTATTGAGATTAAAACATACTTGGGTACTATTTAAACAATATAATATAAAAGAGCGAATGTCTAAGTTATTAAAATGAAGAATCTGCTTCTACACTCAATCTTGGCCGAAAAGCCAAAAAGTAGTTGAAGCATCCTCTTGGCCATCAACCGACAACATTAATGAAGGAAGTAACACAGAGTTATAGCAAACAAGTCAGCTGAGATGAAAAGCCTGGCCTCTGGTCTTGATTCTGCCACTGACTTTGCACCTTGCAAATGTCACTTAAACCTACTTTCTCCCAGTCTTATCTGTAGTGTAAAAATAAGTATGTATATTCCTAGCCTTCCTAATGGGATGTTAGGATGATCAAATCAAGAGACCTGTGAAAGATGAAAGCACATTTTCAAATACATTTTTATATATACAAGTAAGTAATTATTATTTAGCTTTTTATTTCTCAAATTTTGTATGTGAAAACATCCTCCAAAACAATGGCATGCATTGGTATGGGGTAAAATTAAAAAAATAAAAATAAAAAACAAGAAACAAAACAGTAGATTAGCTCTAAAACTCAATTTTTAATTTTAAAATATAAACTTCCATTTAACCTGAAAAAATGTGAAGAATCAAATGAAAATGATTTGCAAATTTTATTATCTTAAATTAATTGAATTTTACCCCATCCCCTTAGCCTACCAAAAACAAATAAATTAAAATGCTTCTCATAGCATTTTGAACATAGAAGCTGCTGCTTTTTCAAGGGAGAGGTATCAGTGAAATTAGAGGAAACCATTTATCAAATTTTCTCATTTTTAGAGAAAAAATACTTCAAATATAGGAGGAATGTAAAATACTAACAGTAAGTGAATTTTTAATATATCCCAAGCATAAGTCTTTGTTATATTCATCAATTCATACAAATTTACTCTTCTCCAACCTAAGAAAAACAATCATCACTTTTCTTCTTATTTTTCATCCCCTCTCCTACGACAATGCAATGTCATTTACCAATTAATATTGCTCTAAATCAATCTAAATAGTGCTAGGATTTTATTTTTAGACGCTACTATTTCTGCTGATGGTTGTCATGGATATTTCCAGCAGAAACTAGCACTGGAGGAGGCCTAGAATCATCACTCATGAAACTAGCACTGGAGGAGGCCTAGAATCATCTGTCAAAATTGGGGAAGAAAAATATCCAGGAAAATCTCTTTCTGACATAAAAAGGCTAGGCTATTTGCCCTTAAAAGGAAGCCCTGGCTCATCTTCGGTCCTCTTCTGCAGCCACTCACAACCAGAGCTGTGCGTGAGAGGCAGCGTGACCAGTTAGCTTGCTTCATTCCAGTTGCAATTTATTTTAGAATACAAATGGAGGGGCCGCCAAAACAAAGATCAGCCTTTGGTAGCTATTGAATCTGCAGGAGTAGGAGTCTTTCGATTATAGGTGCCCATTCATTCTAAGGAACTAGGACACGAGGTCAATCAAGAAAGTTAAGGACAGGGCTTCTTTTCGTGCACCAGCATTCCCCTTTGGAGAGCATAAGATCCTGCCAGTGTGCCAAGTTTGCAGCTGATCGAACTCCTAGGCTGTACTGGAATTACTCTATGCAACACTGATCCGTACATGAGCGTATTTCTTCTGAATGATGATTACCCTTCTTACAACAAAACTATTTCTTTTTTAATTGCAAATAGGGCTCTTGGTGTTTTTTACGTTTTTGTAAATATCACAACACATGATTTTCCACTTTTTATTTTCATTTAATTTTATTGGAACTACCTTTTTTTAATCCTTAGAGTGACAGTTTGTAATCTCTAGATAAAAATGTGATTCGTTCCATTATAGCACTTGTATCTGGAAAAACATCTCAATCTTTCCCGCAGTTTGAGTCATCAGAGATTGAAGTTGCCTCTTGATTTAAAATTTGGTCCTGATGAAACTTGCGACTGTAGAAGCAAAAGCACAGAGTGAATTTTCACAAGGGGCAGGGAATTAGAGAATAGTCATTACAGAGCTAGATAACATTCATAGCAAGAAGTGTTTTCCCTGTTTTTACTTAAGATTAAGGAGTTCTTTTGTTTTGTTTTGTTTTGCTTTGGTAAATGAACTCTTTATTTACCATCTCAGCTTAAAAGAATAATATTCAAGACTACAGGGCAGCCATTGACTTTGTTCCTTACTATTGCCCATATTTTAATAACTCACACTAATTAAACGCCTATTTTCAGCCTATCAGTGGAATTAATTTTATGAATGACACACATTAAAATAGTCATATCGTGGGAATATTATAGCTGGTAACCAGCTGACACTGATTCGTATGGGAACAATTGTGATAGTGGTAGTAATGGTAGTGATTCTAGTGGTGATGGTGATGTGAAGTAAAATTAAATGATATATTGTGCCCAATTTATTATAAATTATTTGATCAATGCATCATTTCATTAATATATCATAAAGATGTTTATAGTATTTTTTTACTTTATTATTTAAATCATAACTAACAATATTTTTAAAAACTTATTTTCACTGCTACGATGTCTAATATTCCCAAATCAGCCAACTATAGCTATATATGTGTTTATAACTATACGTGTGACAGAAGTGATTTTCCCTCTTGCTGAGCTTGAAATGAATGAAAGCTTAATGAATAATTATGAGCTATTTCATTAATAATTACTTGCCTTTGGTGTAATACAGGAATGAATGAGTGAAACATACTCTCATTGAACAATGATGTTTCTGTACGTTCCATGTTGTTACTATTAATGGTACCTATCAAACCCAAATCATTTAATCAAATTCCTTAACTGATAGGTAGATTGAAAGCGTTTTCTTAATTCGCTACCCTGTACATAACTATACATTTGGTAAAATAGACCAAGTTGACACAGAATTTCATTTGGCATTCAGCATGTGAATATGATTACTGTTTGATTGTGTCTGTATATTTGTTCAGTGATGTGTACAGGTGCTCCCACTACTGATTAATGTGTGTGCTAATATCTTAACAACAACACATCTGATGTTAAAGAAAAAAAAATTCTTGTCTGCAAAAAGTAAAAGAAACCAAATAAAATTGATTTCAAAATACTAAAAAATAAAGTACTTTGAGATATGTCTTGTTTCTGACTATATGTTGCATGCCATGTTGGTGATTTGCAAATGTGTTACTTTTTGGTTTGTTTTATTCAATCCCTCTGGAAAAGCTACTGAATAAAATGCAAATTCTTGGGCTGAAGGTTGTATAAATTGAACTGCAAATACATGAGAACTGTATAAAAAGATGCTTGTAAATCTGTCTTGAGTTTTACTTTATGTAAAAATATGTCTTGGTTTTGTGATTGTATACAAGATGTATCTTGATAACTTATGTAAATTGTGCTGTATAAAGGCTGTCACCTCAGCCTTACTAATAAATACTGAAAATATCAACTTTGATTTCTTGTGTTTATCAGCTTGAAAAATTGGTACTTAATATAGAAATAGAATTTTTCAGAACATTTTATCTGAAAATTGCATTATAAACCATTTGCCCATACAGTTTAAAAGATGGATATTTTTAGAGAGGGATATGTTCGCTATAGGGCATGTGCACTCACCATAGAGACAGAAAGAGACAGAGAGACAGAAATTGAGAAATCACCTTCCAGGGAGGATGGCCATACCACAATCCCTTCTTTATTCTCTTCTCAGGATCTTGGGCATGCATACACATGCATCCAGTGTGAGTTTTAAGCCGCAAGGTCGAGGACACGAACCGTCAGAGTCCAGTGACATAACCATTATGCAATCTGCTGGCCCCTAAAAAACTGAACATAGTACAGATACAAAAAAAAAGTTAAACAAATGCATAGATTGATAAATTATCACATGTGAAGTATATGTATAACCACCACCTATGTAAAGACATTGAACTTTGGGAGGCCAGCAGGTGACATGGTGGTTAAGGTTCTGGACTTCTGGACTCCTATTTGGTAGACCAGGGTTGGAGTCCTGCTCCAGGTGGCCTGAAACTCATGCCAGGCGTGTGTGTGTGTGTGTGTGTGTGTGTACCCAAGAGGAGACTAGAGCAGAAGGGATTGCAGTGTGACTATCCTACCTGGGGATGTTTTCTCACTTTCCCTTTCACTTGTCTCTCTCTTTCTCCAGTGAGTGCATGAGCCCTATTGCAAAAACCTACAGGAGAAGAAAAATAAAAAGAAATTCAACTTTGTCAGCCATCTCAGAAGTCTTTTGTTTAACTCATCTCTATCACAACTCTCTCCTACCTGATAATCACTGTCCTTATTTTGATGACAGTTTTAATTATTTCCTGGCTTATCACTCACATCTGCTGACTAAATACTAGTGTTGTACTCCTGTTTTATTTTTAATATGTCTGCTAAGCTTATTTTAGTCTATGTATTCTCCTCTCTCTCCCTTCTCTTTCATTGAATCCCTTTAAAAAAAAATCTGTTACACCTATAAGGTTTCTCATGATATGAATTTTGCTGATTGTGTGTTCATATTGTAGTTGGTTAAGATTTTCTGATAAATTCAACTATATAAAAATAAAGATGTCTGTATCTCAGACTCCATAAAGAAAATTATAAGAAAAATTACAAAACTCATAAAGGTATTTGATACAGAAAAAAATTAAAAAGAATAGTATCAAGAATACATAAAAATCACAAATCAGGGGACAAAGAGAAGCAGTACAATAAAAATACAGAAAAAGAAACACTTGAACAGATGGTTTAAATGAGAAAAAGTCCAAATTGTTAATAAACATATACTAGTAGATACTACACCGCATTAGTTTTCAAATAAACTACAGTTTCAACTGCGGT